TGGGTCTGATACTGTGTGTGTGTTAGATGGGTCTGATACTGTGTGCGTGTTAGATGGGTCTGATACTGTGGGCGTAATAGATGGTTCTGACACTGTGTGTGTGTTAGATGGGTCTCATACTGTATTCGTAATAGATGGTTCTGACACTGTGTGTATGTCAGATAGGTCTGATACTGTGGGTGCAATATATGGGTCTGATACTGTGTGTGTGTTAGATGGGTCTGATAATGTGGGCGTAATAGATAGGTCTGATACTGTGGGCGTAGTAGATGGGACTATACTGTGTGTGTGGGTTGGATACTGTGCGTGTGTTAGATGGGTCTGATACTGTGTGTGTGTTAGATGGGTCTGATGCTGTTTGCGTATTAGATGGGTATGATACTGTGTGTGTTTTAGATGGGCATGATACTGTGTGTGTAATAGATGGGTCTGATACAGCGTGTATAATAGAAGAGTCTGATACTGTGTATGTATTAGATGGGTCTGATACTGGGTGTATTAGATGGGTCTGATACTGTGTGCATTAGATGGGTCTGATACTGGGTGCATTAGATGGGTCCGATACTGTGTGTAATAGATGGGTCTGTTCTCTGTGTATAAGATAAATGGGGTTGGTACTGTGTGCAATAGAAGGGTCTTATTACTGTGAATGTGATAGATGGGTCGGATACTATGTGTGTGATAGATAGGTCTGTGCATTTGTGTATATGATGGATGGGTATGTACGCTGTGTATGTAGTATTTGGGTCTATGTGTAAACTCGGGAGTACATCTACTGTGGATGTAACAAGTGGGTTTGTACACTCTGCATGTATTAGTCTGTGTAGTATCGTGAGTCTGTATACTTTTCTGTGTTTTATGTTTGTACAGGTAGTAAATGTGTCTCCACGTGGAACAGATGTGTCTGAAAAATAGCAGCTGTGCTTGATAGGAGTGTAAGTGGTGTTAACTTGTGTTTTATATATTGATGCAATGTTTATCTGTGTGAGTAGATGGAAAGATGTGATTTACAAGAATTAAAGTGAATGCAATTAGTCATCCGGACACTTGAGTTTATATAGGTTGCTCGTCTCCCTATAAAAACGGCAGAGATTTTTTCTTCTGATCGCGAGTGGTTGTGAAGCCTATGTAAACATGTATTTCAATGAGTGAGTGAGGGAAGTGTCGAATGCGCTACTACCTTCGTCAAGGGCACGCTCCATGCTGTACGAAACTCGACACCTATAGAACGGTTCGCAACTTTCTCTGTAGCTACGCAATTGCTAGGCAATACTGTGCTGTACAACGTATCGTGCTTGCGACCGCAACTTGGTATCCGTAGTCCTCAATACCGGCACCTTATATATAATGCAAGAGTTTTAGCATTGTTTGTTGCATGGAACTTGGTGCTAATATCGCTAGTGCGTGATTGGCCCTATCAGCGGCCAAATACGTTCACGCGCACCTCTCCGCGAAAAAAAATCTCTGTCAACGCCCTTCGCAGTTTTCCTCTCCTAGAGATACTATGCCC